ACTACGTAAGCCCGCTGACACCATGCTGCGCTACGATCCTCGTACTATGGCGGCGGTTGACTCCCCTGCGGCACCAGCCATGACAGCTCAGGTACAAACTCGCTAACCTGTAACTCGGTACCACCTTGAAACCTATGACGCCCTGCTCACGTATCCCCCATCCCCCACCCCGTATGCTAACAGGAGCCTTTACTAATTCTAACCCCTCTTATGAGCTGCTATGGGTGCTAGGCGGCGAAAAGCGCGCTTAAGGGCGTGCACCCCCCCTATAGTTGGGTCTTCTGACCCTCTCCTAACACCTCCTAACATGCTAACTCTAATTGCTCCTACTTTTTACTAAGTGTTTACACTGTGTATGTGTGTATGTGGCTAACACGGACTACAAGGCTTTTTTGTCTAAATGTCCCCAAAATTTTTTTGAGGATAGCTGTGTTAATACACAACCCCCCCCCCCACACACACACCTTCAGCGGTGACTATTTAGAAATCTGTGAAGACCGTCATACACCTCTCCTCTGCTCCTTGCATGTCACACTCTATCCTGCCCTCCACTTATTTCTTTCCTTCCCGTTGCCCCTACCTTCCCTGCCCCATACTCCTATAGAACTCCGCCCTCTATCCCTTACCCTCCACCCTTCCCTCCACTCCCGTTGTACTACTAACACATACATACGAATGAGCATCATTAAGAGAACAGACGGTATGAAGATCAGAAATGAAATGAACGGAAGTATGAAGATGAAGGACGGACACAAAGACTGTATAAGCTGAAGATCTGAAGTGAAATGAACAGGAGTATGAAGCTCTGAGGAGATGCACAGGAGCATACCTTCCCTTTTACTCTGCCTCCTGAAATAACGTGCAAGTGGGCCGTGAAGGCACACGGGGATGTGGGCAGCTGCCGCTGAACCACAATCAATGTGGGCAGCCTTGTGCGTAAGAGGCACAGTAAAAGGGGATCTGCAAGAACAATGAAAGGGGTACCCCAAGGACAACCAAAAAACTGTCTAATTATAAAATTGCTTTTTTTTAATTTTATATATAAAAATTTTGGACCATTTCTCGATTTATGCATGTCATCCTTGCGAAGGGGCCATGCTAATCTTCTCTGTATCGTTCCAATTTTAACGGATGTCCCGAGGAACTTTATAGAATTGCTTTAATATGTTGGACATCTCAAGTGCTCTCGTTGTCTGCAATAGGACAGACTGCTTTGCTTCTGAATCTATTCACCTGGGTGGATTTGGGGCTGTTGTGAGGAAAATCTAAAATACACACGCACACAAACGCACACACACACACACACCCTCCCGTTTCCTTCCTCCTTCCTCTTGTGTATTACTGGTAATACATACGAATGAGCATCATTACGAATAGACAAAATATAAGTTGAATATCTGAGAAGAAATGAACAGGAATATACCTCCGCCTTTGCTCTGCCTCCTTTCATAGTGTGCAAGTGGGCCGTTATGGCACACGGGGATGTGGGCAGCTCGCGTGCTCAACCACAATCAACGTGGCGAGCCTTGTGCATGAGAGGCACGGTAAAGGGGAGACCTGCAAGAACAAATGAAAGGGGTTTACAAATTTATGTACATGCAGCTATTGTTACTTCATGTTGCTTGCTGCTATTGAGGTGAAGCTGTTTCATTGTCGGATTGTCTGAACTCAAGGGCTTTCGTTGTCTGTGCTAGGACTAAATATGCTTTCATTTTGGATCTCTTCATCTGGCTGGAATAGGGCCTGTGTAATGAACCCAGTCTGGAAGGAAACTCGTCAATGTCGAAGTACACGATATCTCAGCGCTTGTCAGTGTCTCCAATAATCATGAAATGTGATCTGAAATACAACGTCTCGTAACAAGAGGACGAAGCTGATAGGAGGGAGAGAAGACTTAGAGGGTGGAAGAGGAAGTATCCATCAATGTCATCGTAGATAGATCTCCCTCATAACCCACTCCTCCTTCGGGCATCTCCCCTCTTCCACGTCAGCAAACAGTATCCTAGAGACGAGGCTGACAAGATCCGATGACAGCATAGTGCCACGTAGGCACAGATCTCTCATGAAGACGTCACAGCAGCGCGCAAAGTCGACAGCATCAACCAGGTAAGCTTCCCTCTCTCTCTCACAATCACAGCCCTGATCTCCCTCCTCGTCCAAACCCAATCTGTGTCGACGACAGTGTGGCCAGCACCATGTCAGCAATCAAGTATACAGCTGGCGCCAAGAGCAGAGAGGCGCCAGCACGCAATCCACCAGTCTCGCGTCGTCGTCACACACACTGCCAGCATAGTGCCAGCGTCAAGTCAGCGTCTATCCAGCCTCCAGCCAGCGTTGTGCCAGCGTCGAGCAGCAAGTGCAAGACTGTATGTCGACCGACCAACAGGGGCTGGGTCAGTAAGTAGTGTTGACGCAGTTGACCAGCCTCTGGTCTCCCAGGTACGAAGGCTCAGATTGACTCACAGCTGATGGCCTGGATCGCATACAGTTGCAGACCTCCACTTGGACCAGATTCTGCCTGGATACCTGCGTACAGTCAAGTGTGTGTGTTTGGTCGGTGGCCTGGACTGGGTCCGTGCATGCAGACTTTGACTCGTTAGCCTCAATATTCCGAGTTACAGTTGACTTTTTTAAGTCAACTGCTGGGCGCAGGGCCTCTAAAGCCTCATTTCGGGGGCCAGTTTAGCACAGTCTGGCGCAGGGCCTTGCTGCGGCCTGTGGGCGGCCCCTGGCCGACAAGTTGCGACAACAATAGCATATTTGGAGCGCGTTATTGCAGCTGTTGTGGTGAAAATTCAAAACGAACACACACGACTAAGTAATAATAAAAATAGCGAGCCCAATAGCAGATTCTGCAGCAGTTCCCATCATGTCCTCTAGATAAACAGAATACACTCAAAATTCGAATTGACAGCAAGCAACATTAACTCAGTTGACATCAACATAATAAGGATATTTTCTTTCTCTTTGAAAAATTCCCCAAACACCTAAAAAGGAAAAATTGAGTTGTTGTGGTTACAGTTCACAACCTACCATCCCC